GTGAAAAGAAGCTTAAATACCTCCTAAAACCTAGCTACCCAATCCCCACAAGGAAACTAAGTTAAAATAAAATAAGACTAGGAAATAAAGTCCAAATTGGATTAGGAGAATCTGCCCAAATCTGCCCAGCCACGTTTTGGTCTCAAATCTCCTCCAAATCTGGCCCAAGATAGCTCATTTTAAAGATAAAAATATTCCGAACACTTCTCCAGAGCCCAACGAACCCATCCGAGGTCATCTTGGGCTCTAAAATCGCAATAAAAGCCCAAAACGTCACTATTCTAGTACAGCGCACTGCTCGTTTATTTATTCTCCAGGAAATCATCGCTTGGTGGAAAAGTCTGAAATTCTGACACGATCAAGTTAAGTGACTCACGAACGTCCTCCAACTGGAATTACTCCAAAATTCGTCCATTTGATTATGTTTTGCTCCGGAGGAAGTCGAAAGACCTATATTAGAAATATAATTCAAAGTATCAAAATTCTTCCAAAATATTAACCAAAATATACTAAGAATGGGGTTAAATATATAATATAAAATCGACTCATCACTAAGCCAATAATTTCAATGATGGAGGAGATTAGGGTTAAGTTGATGAGAAGGATACAGATGAGAAAAGATTTGATGATGAGATGGGAGCGTGTAATATGTCTCAGGCCCTTAGCAAAGCTTGAAACCAGCAAAAAATAAGCTACTGATTGCATTGCTATTATGTCTGGAGAACCCAAGTTCCAAGTAGATACTGTAATTAGTGGGTAGTTTATAGTTGATTTGGATGAGAGGACCTGCTCATGCAGGATTGGGATTTATCTGGTGTCCCATGTAAGCATGTTGTGTCAGCTATTAACCATAAGAGAGGGAATAGGCCTGACACTTATATAGACAAGTGTTACATGAAGGAGACATTCCTAAAGGCATATGAGAACATCATACAACTTGTGAATGGAATGGACCTATGGGAAAGAACAGATTTCCCTGAAATCTTACCTCCTAAGTACAATAGACAACCAGGCAGACCACCCAAGGTTAGGAGGAAAGAGTCTGGTGAAAAAGAGACCAAGACAGGTGGGAAGAAGCTAGGAAGATACAAAGACTCTCTCAAATGTGGTACATGTGGCCAAAAGGGTCATAATTCAGTAACATGTCATAGACATAAGCCACCAAATGAAAGAACCCAACTTGGAAAGAAAAAAAAGGCTAAGTCTGCTGTTGGAAGTTTTATCCCATACCTGACAATTATGATGTTGAGATGGAGAGGAAGAATAAAATGAGACAGAAGGCAGAGCAAAGAGCTCAAATACTGAAGATAATTGCACTTTACACATTGTATTTGCTTGTTGGAATGATGGGAACTGTGACATAGGTGATAGCATTCTGTCTTTGTTTGTTTTTTTAGGAAAAGAGAGACAAAAAAAAGGCAGAAAATGCAGCATCGTCTACAGCAGATTCAAACAATCCAACTGGAGGGAGGAAAAGGACTAAACAAAGGACCACCACATGCAGCAATTATGCTTCTGTCCAAGAATCACAAACTGGAGTGTAGGATCAATTAGGGTTTTGTATGGACAGACTGTATATGCAGGTTTTTTGGCCAATGTGTTTTGTATGGACATACTGTATTGGAAGGTGTATAGGATCAAATAAGGTATTGTATGAATAGACATATGTGGTTGTTTGTTGGCTTTGGTCTGACTCATATTTGGTAATGTATTTTGGCCAAGGAGAAACTATATTGCAGTTCTTGGCAGCAGTTGGTATAATTGTATTTTTGGTTATGGACAAAAGGGTTAGCCTGGTAGGTTTTGACCTTTTGGGTATGAAATGCTTCATGTAATGCACTGTTATTTTGGTGTAATGCAGTCTTATTATTTTGTTGGCAAGCTATGATCAATGTACTCATTTTGGAAAATTTGCAAAATGAATGTGATATGCCAATTTGCAAAAGGAACGTCAATTTCCAATTTCACATTTCATACAACCCATTTCATTACAACCAATTTCATACAACCCATTTCATTACAACCAGTTAATGGTCTTACAAAAACCTGCAGTACACAAAAAGCAATTGAAACCATCAAGCAAGTTCCAGTACTGTCTTTGTTCCACTTGAACCGTTATGTTGAGTTGCATTTGCTGAGAGCACAACAACAAGGACGCCAATAACGATCAAAAACCAAAGTAGCTTCTCTCTCCTGCGCGAACTCTTTAGTTCATCATTAGCCTTATCTATCCTCTTCAACAACCCAAGAATTATCATCTTTGACCAGGCACACATTTGAGGATCGAACCAGTCGAAATACCCACACCTTTTCTGCTCAACATGAGGTAAATAACTTAAATGATCGCCCAATTCAAAAATTCTTACAATTTCAAACAATTACACCCAAATAACAAAGAATTTACTGAAATTACCTTGCGGCAGCATGTCCAGAATCTTCTCCCTGGATTATCTTTGGTCCAAGAGGTTTCCAGTCGAGCAAACGCACCACAAAAGCATCGATGCGTCTCACTCATTCCAGCTTTCATAACTTCACGAAGAAAATTTGAGGATTTGGAGATATTTGGTGTGAGAGAATTTGGGAACTTAGGGTTCTTGTTCCTATTGAGCTATATGGACGACAAGTTGAAACAGAAATTTTAAAAATTTCTGAGTTGCAAGCCAATCACCCCATGCCATGTCGGCTTAATCTGAAGACAAGGGTTGGAGGGCGTGAGGGCGGGAAAGGGAAAAATCCAAGTTCGAAAATGCCCTTGGAAGGACTTCGAAACTAGTGGATATGTGGGCCCCATCAGTGCCAGATCAGCAACTAACGGTACAACTGATGGAAACCCTAACGGTGGAATCGGCTTGTAACAAATTTACAAGCTCGGGGTATGCAATTGTTAAAATTGAAAAGGTAGGGACTAACATGCCTTAGCGTTGTAAGTTTAGGGTACTAAAATGTTATTAACCCTTAGTTCTATTGGTAATTTTACAGTTAATAGTAATATGTACGATATTGAATTTTTTTTTAATTTGTGCTACAACAGTAGTGCCAACAGCAGAAGCGATATGCCCCCTGGAAGCAAAGAGAAGCAACACATGGTTCCACGTTTGTGCCAAATCCAAGAGCTGTGACAACCAATGCAGGACATGGGAACGGGCAAAGCACGGTGCTTGCCACGCAACTTGGCGCCATGTTTTAGGTGTAAGTGAAGGTCCCTTCAGGGATTGCATGCTTCTGCTACTTTTGCAAAAAGCATTAGGTCAAGCATGTCTGTGTTTGGCCAGGAAAACAAATTGATAAATAAACAGCTTTTGCTGGCTCGCTCTATATATGCTTGTGGATCGACTACTCTTCTGTCTGAAACTAGAAATAAAAGCTTTTGTGGCTCTGTACAGGCTAGAAGAACACTTGTGCTTCAAAAATAATCGTGTGACTCTTTACAATTCAGATACTTCTGTTTACTAATGGTTCTTTTAATGAAAAATATTCAAAAAGTAACCATGCACAAGCATGCATGCATACATATGATTAAATTGAAATCTGAACCATCTGAACCACTCGTCTGATTCAACATTCTCCATACTTTGGGAATTCAGCTTATTCTGAAGTAAGGTATTCATGGCTAGATTACATCGTAGCCCTAGCAAAAGGAAATTAGAACATGATGAACTTATCAAGAATCAGTTGTATTAATGAGATCCACACATTATCCCATACCACATGTTTATTAGGTGCATTAAAAAAATTACCTTGTAGGTACATATATCTCATATTTACCTAGTAATTATGCACGTATTTACTTAGTAATCATGTACATTATCTCATATTTACCTAGTAATCAGGGACGTCAGAAAGTTCTACCTATATATTTAGCTCATACTACCCATATATCAGGTACATATTATTTGAGAAACCATCATCAATTAATAGTTCTCTTGTTTTTATTGTTTTTTCTCAATTTTTAATTTGTTGTTATGCATGAACACCGCCAATCAAATTGATAAGTATTAAACATATTATGTTTTCAATATGTTTAATACTGGGTGTTTACCTATGCATAAGTACATAATATCAAGGAAAGAATTCAAAATTTAAATTCTGAAATTCAATTACAAAGAAATAATGCATTAAATTTGGATTTTCAATGTGTTTTTCTTATTTACCTCAAAGAGTAAAATCGACACAACAAAAGAGGTCAAAGAAGTCAAAGGACCTACATCTAAAACCAACAATGTGTTGACTTAACACTATGGCAGCTAATCATTATGGACCTAGATATACGAACCCCCTTTGTTTCCCTTTTCTCTAGTCATCGACTTCACTGTCTCTCTCTCTTCTCTTTCACTCTTTCCGCTAAGCCGCCGTGAACCGACAATCTAGCCAATTTTTCAACTAACCGATCCTTCGGTTGAACTGAATGTCTGCTCAGCGTTGGTCCTAAGAAATGGCAAACTGATGGTTCATCATGTGGTTTCCGACCTCCAGATATATTTCAGTTCGGTTGCCCACCTTTACACATATATACTCAGTTTGTATTCTCTAATGTGACCTTCTCCACAGGGACGGACCTAGGATTTAAAATGAGGTGAGTTAAATTTACCTTATGTAGGGGCTTTTTTCTTCCGACAGCTACAAATGGGCTGGGCTGCCATAAGGAGCAAACTGAAGAAATCGTCCCCTGTGTCTGAGATTGAAAATTAAGCCCCAAAAATGCTTCGAAAGGGCAATAGAGCCTTAGGAAGCAGCTTGGTTACCTTCACCGACTAAAACGATAGCAACTTACAGATAATTTATACATGCTTACAGATAAAATTTTGAGCTTGGCATGAGAGGCATGTGGCATGGAAGCAAAATCAACATGAGTTTAGCACTAAGGGGAACTTTATGCTTTCTTACGGGAAAAAGGGAGTGTTAAGGTAAGAAAGAAGAAGCTTGTAGGAGATTTGGCTAGGAAGAGAGAAATGAAGAACAATACTCTTCCGGCAGCTTGATAGATACTCTGTCTGCCAAAAGAGAAAAATGAAGAAAAAGGTGAACAGTGCATGAGATTGCTAGGTTTTTGCAAGTTAGAGAGAAAGCTTGCTCTCTAAATCTGAGTTGGATTTGTTAGGTAGGAGAAACCTGAATTTATAGCCGTTGGAAACCACCATTTTTCAAGAAACCCTAATGGCTTCTACATATTTTGGCCAAGCTTTTCCCTCCTTTCTCATCTTTTTCCTTGGCTTTTCCCATTTTGAGGAAATCTCTTCTATCTATTTGCACTAGATCAGAGTTTTTGAAGCTCAAGGCCCCCTTTTCCCGTAGTTGTGTCAATGGCAGACTTCTATTCCCAGCCATCTCTTTTATTGCTTTCTTCCCTTTTTTCCATGGCTAAGTCTGATGGGAAAAGGAGTTGGAATATATACGCTGGTTCGAAGGATGTTTCTCTCTCTGGCATCATATATGCTAATACCCCTTGGTTCCTTGAATGTTTTGGCTTTGAAACTTGCTCCCTCCATGTGCTGGCAGCTCTATTTAATAAACCTGCGGACCTTCTCTACTTGACTTTTATTTTTTTAGCAAAGGGCTGTGGCTTATTTTGGAGTTTTGTATGGGCTAAAGTGGTTCTTTAAGCAAGTGGACTATTTTTGTTAAACATTGGGCTCTTTGGTTGAGTCAATAGGCTATTTTTTGCTTGGGCTATTGGGCTATTTTTCTCCCTTGTGCTCACCCACATGTTTGAGCCTAAGAAATGGGCTTGAGTCCTAAGACTCCCAAGCAACTCGAGACTTTCCATTTCTTGGCCCATCAATGGGCCTCATGTTGATTTATTACCATCCATACCACAACCCACTCAAGCAAGCCCCGGGCATTTGAGTGGCTTGGGCCCACTTAGGCTTGTAGCGTGGTTGGGTGTGAGATAACGATTTTGTGCTTGGCACGGCATGTTGCTTGGCATGTTTTAATTTTATCGTCCTTGGGAAGGACTGCGATGTTTAATTTCGGCATGGGCTTGTAGAGCCATTGTATTTTATCTCAACCCCTAGCATGGCGAATTTATTTAGCATGGCACGTGAACTACAACTCGCATGTGGCGGGTTTTCGTGTACTCCGCTTTACACTTTTCCTTAATAGAGTGTCGTTTTGGGCTGATAATTTATTCGGGCCCAACCATGAATTTTTTGGGCCTCAACACCTTATATACGCACCGGAAAGTGGAACATAAAGATGCAGCTGCTGCAGCATACCAATTCGTCCTTTTATTTATTTATTTTATTTTATTTTTCACTTAAAGGAATTATGTG